TTATCAAAGTGTAAGAAAATATTTCAAATGATTTGATAAAGTTTAAATTTATTATTTTTAGTAGTTGGAAAATTGAAAAGGTTCCAAATTTTAAAGAGTTTGGTGTTTTATTAATTTTTTCGGTATCTTATAATAAAATAATCATGTTTCAAAAACTGAAAGCTTTGATTAAAATAAAAAAAATGAAGCGAAAGAATATACTTAAAAAGATATAATTTGTCTAACTATATAAAATAGCAGATTGCACTGACACGCCCCAACTTTTTACAGTTTCAAATTAATATGAAACCAAAAGGGAATTGTAACATATTTTACTTATGCGTTGGGACTTTACAAAACTTTAAAAAAACGAGGTAAAACAAATTAACACTTCCTGGGGTCTAAAGAAATTTCCCCTCGATTTTTTACGATTGCCCCAATGTCAAAACACGGGGTTCCCTGCGAGCCATGAAACTCCTGCTGTGTTGCTTCCTCCGTCCCTCATTATCTTTCAAGATGTTAAACCTTAAAAGGGGAAAGGATTTTAGAAAAGTGCGGCTAATACGCTTTTGAAAACGTTACTTGAAGGCAGAAAAATCCGTGCAGTCCATTTTCGAAACATCTTTACACTGACGGAATTTTCCGTGCTATCCGGTTAGAGAGTTAATAAACTATTTACCTCAGTGTTTCTCAAACTGTGGGTGTGCCCCCTGAGAACGCGATAACCTTAGGAAGGGGGCGCTAGCATATTGAAAATAAAAGATTTAAAAAATAATTCATTTACTGGAATGAATTAAAACAAAATATTTTCAGACATAACAAAAAAATGCACTTTTACTTTGATATAAGTTATAGGCGATATTATATATAAATCATTAAAAAACATTATTCAATACTTAATTAGCTATCTTTGATCCTATAACCAAATAAAAGATATTTTATTTAATTTGCTGTAATCCCATGATGAGAGAGTTTTTATTACGTTTTCTTTTTTAAAACTAACATTCTACTCTTTCAGAGAATAAACCGACTCCAGATCCAGAATGGAAAAAATTTAGGAACAGAAAAAATTCATCACTGTCATTATTTTTGAAATACTGCACATTATAGCTGTAATTTGTTTGACCTTCTAAGTTATTGGTACACTTAGTTATGAACCCTCTTTTATGTGTTTATTTCTCATTTAAGGAAGTTGAATGTAATGTATTTAAAAATTTTCTCTGATGCGCTTTTTTCCATGCAAAACAGTTTTATATTTGAAAAACCACCGAAAGCACACACACTTTGATGGATCACTTTGCGAAGACTTAGACCAAGATGAGTATTTTCAAACATATAAAGCATAACAATTATTTTTAGCAGTAACATATATATTATCATAATGAATTCACTTTTTACCCAGAAGTGGTCGCGCGGGACACACAGATCACGAAATTGTTAATTCTGGCAAAACTATTTATTTGTTACCAAAGAAAAATTGAAAAGTCCTTGAAAGAAGGTAAGTAAACTTTCTCTTAATTAAATTATTCACTAGAATAACTATTTGTATCTTGTACAATAAAATAATTATAAAAAATTATTGGGGTGACTCAATAACCCCGCTCGACCGTATCGACTGCTCCCAGGTTAAAACATGTAGAAGCCTTTTCGCTTTAATTATTAAAAATAATACAATTATTCTTCATCGGAATTTTGTATTATTGTTCATTATTTAACATCAATTATAAATGCTAATTTAGTGAGGCTTGAAATTAAAATTCGCTTAAAACTAATTATAATTTGAGCAATCATTTAAAAAAACATTTTACACTTTTGTAAACATTGTCGCGCACTTGGCTTTACTCTCCTTACAATACAGCTGTTATATCAAGAATGTTTTATTTCCTTATAAATGAACTCCTGCAAAGACCGAGTACTTCTCCCGGTATACTTTTGATGTATCAGTGCTGCACAGAGTATTTTATAACTAATTAATTAATACTAATTAAGAACATGTTTAATAAGTTATTAACGACTTCCATGGGCTTGTCTTGCAAAGTAAAGTTTTATAAGGAATGCTTATGATTAGAAATCGACCCTCTGAGTCATTTTTCTATATTTAGCAGATATCCATATTTTGTCTTCTAAGCAGTCACCGCATTTTGCAATATGTTCAATTTAAAAATTAAAGAAAGGAAAAATAACATACTAATCATCCTATTATTATTTTATTTATTTTTTTTGCTTAAAAGTAGTATACAAAATTTAATACTTATGTTATTAATTTGTATGATTTATAATTAAGATCTCGTATTGTAGCTTTAGCGTCAAAGTGCATTATTATTGCATTTAGTGCATTATTAATGTATAAGGGGGGGCGCGATAAAAATTGTGATTGAAAAGGAGGGCGCCAGTATTGAAAGTTTGAGAAGCACTGCTCTAACTATATGATCAACATAATGAAACTTCACTATACCGTAACAACTGGTGCAATAATCAGAAACTAAAGAAAAGTATCCCCTTCAGTTAAGCAGAACTTCTACAATTGTCTTTTAGTGATGTTGAGCCTCACTCTCTAAAATCTTGTCTCATACCGGCGATGGGAATCCAAAAGTGTATTTCCACTTTGACCTTTCTATTCCTACCGTTAAGGGGGATTTGATTCCAGATCATCTTGGGCTGTTAGCATTGGAGATCTTTCAGGGAATCCCTAGTGACGCCGTTAAGAACTATACAGACGGCAGCAGACCGAGAGATCGAGAAGGTAGCGCATTTACATTGAGAAACGTGGAGAGAGGTCTTTTTGCCACCGTAGCTCCGACTTTTCCTCCGTCTTTAAAAGTTAACGTATTGCAATAAAGCACGACCTTGAGGCAGTTCTTATAAAACAAGACTTCGGAGACCTCTGGATTCTCTCTGATAGTCGCAGTTAACTCCAACATCTTTATAACTGGATCACAGTCGGAGACAAAACTTGCGTCTCCATACTTCAAAAACTTCGACAAATATCAGTGTTTCATGATGTTCATTTCCAGTGGATTCCATCCCATGTTTACATCTTTGGAAACGAACAAACGGATCTCCTGGCTAAAGAGGGTTGTAATGCTTCTCCACCCATCTCTTCAACCCTCACCTACTCTGAGGGTAGGTGATCTAGGGTTAACATCAATCTAGGGTTAAATCTGAATTTTTAAAGGAGTGGAGGACCCCGTCCAACAATCACTGGTATCAAAGCAAACATCCAGGACCATCATTCCTACTTAAATGTGACAGAGCCTCTCAGACTGCAATCTCTAGATTGAAAAGTGAACACATAAAGAGTCTTTCCTTGTGTGGAGGCAGGGAGACTTTTGCTTTTGCACCAAGTACAAAACACGGCAAGCCTCTTCAGATCACATCTTGGACTGCTTGGGACTTTCGAGGGAGGACCTTTTTTCCTATCCCTACCTGGTATTGAACTTCTTAAGGGTCAATGGTCTTTTGGGTCTTGTTTGACTCCGTCAGACAGATTGAGGATTAGCCACAACAACAATAAAATATTAAAATAATCATTTCTCAATACGTTGCATACTTAAATAATTAAAATTATTAATTGTTTATTGAAAATAAATTTCATTACATGGATGTTTAATACAAAATTCCTATTCTCTTTTTAACATATTTTTAAGAGAAAATGTCTTTCATATTGCAAACATTTAAAATGTAACTCCGTTTTTATGATGATTATCGTTCCTACCGATAATTAAAGTGGAAACTTCATTAAATAATGAATAAAATCATCGTACATTACTTAAAAAATTATGAGAATTTAGTTACTAAATTGAATAAGCCGAAAATTATATGCATATAGGCGAATATATAATGAGAGTCACTTTACTGCATAAAAACACCAATTTGATCGCCAGCCAAATGACGCGGTCGTTAGTTAAATATTCACGCATCATTTAAACTCAATTTACTTTTCTACAAGTGAAAATAGATTTATTCATTTTTCATAACTTTTCCTAACTTCGTAATAATGCTTTGTTTGGGTTTGTAACTTTTCTGAATAAGTGTTGAAGTAAGTTTTAATAACTTTGCGCAACCTATTTTTTTTTGGTCATTACTCAAGCAAGAGGAATAATTCTTAACCATTTATTCAACCAGTTGCCCATTTATTTTGCACTCCATTCTACCAATTTAATCATTTTTAGAATCAATAGATCATAATGACGAAACCAAGAGTAATAATGATGAGAGCAAAAAAAAAAAAAAAAAAAAAAAAAAATGGAATATACGCACAATTGAAAGCGCTTTAATTCAAAACATTGACTATCTTTTCTTTCTATTCCTTTCTCTTTTCATTAGCAAATGGGTGCGCTCTGATTTTTTATATCAAGAGTACAATTCCTCCTCCCTTAAACATTAAATGATGTTAATCTCATGAAATGACATAATGAATGGACAAAAGTTAGCTGCATAATTAGAAAGTATTATGTTTTTCAAAAGCTTTAAATCGAAATTTATATACATATATTATAAATACTGACGTTCCGAAATGATACAGCTTATAAAAAAAATTTCTCTCAGAATAACTTACTGCAGATGCATTTTTAAATGATAAATCAAATCAGGATATAAATACCACTATATTTAAAATATTTTCTCTGTTTTTCTAAATGCATAAGATTCTAAATTAATGTGAATTATAATCATTGATAAAAACATCTACATTTTGCAGCTGTTTTTATTTCTCAGAGCTTCATGTGTAACTTTCGGAAAAAACACATTCAAATTATAAAACAATTTTTAACGTTTTTACATATTATCATTAATTTATCGATATCAATCCTGTTGTTACTGTTGTGTTTTTTTGTTGTTACTGGGATACATATGAAACACAACTGGAAGAACAGAAACATGCAATAAAAACAGAAGAATATAGACATTAATACAGATGATAATCTCAGCATATAACAAGAAGGGATGCGCTGCTTTCCATTCGAGACGGGAATCAACTTCAGGCAAATGTCCGACTTCCTTAAACGAAAAAAATACAACCATGCCTAGCTCGGGATTCGAACCCGAACCCACTCGGTTATAATTCGAGGGTCATATCCATTATACTGGCTGGGCGGAATATCACAATTATGATATTTCCTTTTAAATTTCCAAATTGCACCTTTTCCTCGAGAATTACATTTTGTGTCGCTTACATTTTGTTGTATAAGTATCAGTCCCAAAAGTGTGCTGGGGATTTTGTCTTTATGTCATCAATAATTCTGCCTTTAGTAAAAGCTGATGACAAACCTCCAGGTTGACATAATAATCTTTCTCTATATTTCTAATCTTCTCTTGTGAACAAAATCTTGCATCATTTTTTTGTTCCCATCCAGTACAGTGGTAAGTGATGCTGACTGATGTGTACTAGGGATTGGATTTAAATGCTGGGGAAGGCGTGGGTGTCTGTGAAAATATAGTCCCTGGGTGGCATAGAGGCATTCTAAACATTCTTCGAGCCAAAAGTCCTCTCATGTGGTTTGTGGAAGGTGAAGACAGGTGGGAGACCTCCTAACCCCACCCCTCCAATTGTTCTCCCATAAAATTCGGGTGTAACCGAAACAAATCGTACTGTCACCGAAATTGTTCTAAAAGCTACCGCTTACAACAGGCGAAGAAAACCACGATGAATTTCTTGGACCTGGATCAGGTGACTCAGTAGCAACAACTTTTTTCCCTTCGATATTTGGTCAATATCACAGACGTACCCTTTCATTCCTTTCGTAAATTACTCATGTTAAGTGACCTTTAGGATGGATAAAAAATCGAACTGTAGTATTTCCAGATGCTACTTGGTGACAAATTAATTGATTAATGAAAGTCGTTGTATTAAAGGACCTTATAGGAATATATGTATACAGGATGAAATTATATTTCAACCAATTATTTTTTTGCAAATAAACCAGTGGTTCTCAAACTTTCAGTACTGGAGACCCCATTTTCAATCATAATTTTTATCGCGCCCCTCTAAAAATAATAATATATTGAATGCAATAATAATGCACTTTGGGGCACTAAAGCTACAATACAATCATAATTATAAACCATACAAATTAACAAGATAAGTATTAAATTCTGTATATGTTACTTTTAAGTAATATATATTTTTATTTTTTTATTTTTTTATTTTTTAATTTTTTAATTCGATTCACTATAAAAGCGTGTTCTTTAGTTTGTTTTAGAACTATAGTTTATTTTATAATTATTTTTACTATTCACGATAAAAATCACAATTCCAATAAATAATTTAATTAAGAGTAAATATACTTACCTACTTTCAAGGACATTTCAATTTTTTTTTTGAAAATTTGAGAAAAAATCCAATAAAACTACAGAAAATATTCCAAATGTGCGTGTTCTTAATAAAGGACATAATTTACAGACATTTTTCGCTAACAACACATGAACGTTATTTTCCAGCAAAACTGTCATATTTTGTTCACGTTTTTGTAGTTTTGCTGTTGCTTGATGATCTACAAATAGCATTTTGAACTTTTTCTTCCTTGTGTCTTTTTGACAAGGCGAAGTGCTACAAGAGATCTTTAGGCAGCATTTGAAAATTTCAAATCAACTCAAACGTTTCATGTGTAACGCTTTCCTGATATTTACTTTCGTTTTCTTGATTAATATGCATTATTTTAGTTGGTTCTTCAATTGCTTGATTAATTTCAACTTCCTTCAATAGGGATCACAGATGCCCATTTTTTAAATATTCTGCTCATTTACATTTATAAACCATAATAAATCGTACAACACAAAAATCAAAACCTCAAAATTGTTCATGGGGAGACAGGCATGCTAAACCCGTGGTCCATTTGAAGACTTTTTGCGGCCAATTGAAGTTTCTGTCTATATTATTTTAGATATTTGGACTACATACGGTTGAATTGAAAATATCGTGTTTTGACCCACCCCCACTTCTCCCCGTGCAGTTTTTTCCGAAATAACTTTTTCCTTCATTTGAGTTCCAAGCAATTGTAATAACAGGTGTTGATGGATGAAGGAAAGCAGATGAGTGTGGGTATGTTATTTCTCTTTCAACGAGAACTTCGTTGAGAGTGAGTAGTGTATTTTATTCTTTTTGACAGAGAAATAATTGTCTATATTTTAAGTTCAGATTAGTAGCCTTTTTCTTGTTTTATTTGGCAATGAAAGAATCCGATGATGGATTTAATGAGTTGCCTCAGAACTGTAAGACAAGCTAGTAAAAATGTAAGGTAATTACGGCAGCAGAATAAAACTCTTTAATATTTTAGCCTTCTGAAATTATGTAACGTTTTCATTTTGTGATATATTTTAATCACGATACAATAATTAATATCATACAACAAGAAACTAAACATTTGGTTATCGGGCAGAAAAACTTTTTGTCAAACAGTGTAATAATTACAATGCTCTGTTTTTCTTTACTTAATTGCCTTTTTGCATTTGAAATAAAAATTTTGAAAATCCAAATCAATTGTATGCAAACATACTGTAACACAATTATAAAATGTGAAAATATTACGCATATAGTTATACTACGTAACCTCAGATGGCAGCATAAATTTACTGTAGACCTTGTAGGTTAAGAGATATTCTTCCACCAACAAGTGCAATCGGTCGACTTTCAACTTTGTTGTGATTGTGATCCAGTAAAAGGTAAATTTGGTGTTCTTTGATCATATCAATAATTTAATGTTAATCATATCATATTTTGAATATTATACGATAGTAAAATATTTTGAATAATTTGTTTTATTTTGATATGTGCGACTCATTTCAGTTTAGTAAATTTTTACGTGGCCCACCAACCAATTTGGGTTGTGAATCCCTGGTGTAGCATGCTCTAAAAAAATAATTGAGTAAAACGTTTTTCATTATGCATGGTATGTTTCAGAATGCTCTTAAAAATAAATCTTGGCCGAATAATTCTTCAAAGTTCTCAAATGCTTATCCATATATCATAAAACTCTTTCACATGGAAAAAGACGAAACAGAATTATATTATATTTACAACTTCCCTTAAAAAAAGACGGAGATAACCATACCAGTAAGTTCGAAGGTCAGCTTAAGTAATATTTTAGGGTTGAAAGAAACGTAAAAAAAAATCTCTCATCTTAGGATTACAGCAAAGCAAACAAATTTTTTTAAAATTTGGTTATAGGATCAAAGATGGCAAATTAGCGTTTGAAGTAGAATCTTTTATTTTTGATGATCACCAGATGATAAAAATAAATTATACCAGTGTAAATGTGTATTTTTTATTATGTCAAAAAGCATTTTATTTTACTTCATTCCAAATTTTTTTTAAACTTTTATTTTCAATATGCTAGTGCCCCCCAGGGGGGCATGCCCCACGGTTTGAGAAACACTGAAATAAACAGAGAATAAATTTTTTCACGGTTAAGTGAATAGGATGATGTCAGAGCTGACTCTTCATTCTCCGTAGCACATCAAGGTGAAGAAATTGGGCCTCGAACAATTTAAATTACCCCAGTCCCACTAAACGACTGGTCTGTATTAAAACCAGTACTAGAATCGATGCGATTAAATGATTGAGTGTTTATTAACATCACACTCTAAAGCAACATGATGACTATTAGCAACGGAGCTCGAAGCTATGCACGATGTTCAAGTGACGAGGACAACACCAGAGCTCGCATCCCTCATCTGAGAACTTCCAAATAACACTAACATGAGCACACTGAGCCTCTACAGATTTAACTTGCATCAGAACCTCTGCACGGTAGGACTTCCGTGACATTTGGGCTCGAGCTCATGCGATGCCGATCACGAGTTCATGACTAAGACCACTAGACTACTTCGGCCACCCTTCGATGCGACAGATAGTTTTCAATCATATAACCACTCGGTCTAGTTGGTCGCCAAATTTGCTCTCAAAACTAAGTTACTTGTGTTATGGAGTACAATTTTTCAAAGCACATGTCTGCAAAACATTTTATAGCTAGGTTTAGAATTGACTTTCTTTGCAAATAGTAACCATCTTATGTATTAATGGGCGATTAATGGGCTACTTGGTACCCTTTGAACTACTTTCTTTCTTTGTGTATTTCAGAATTATATTTTAGCATTTTATATAATGTTTCTATTCAAGAAAATGATGCGAGATGAAATTGTTCACATAATATATTCACACAATTTTTAAAATTTTAATTTTTTGAAGAAAATTTGGAAAATTTTGAAATTCTACTTCTGTAAAAATCAATTTTTGACCCGAATTTTTTTTTTGTAATATTCTTATGGATGTTATAAGCATCTTTAGGGATCGATTTTAAAATAACTTAATTCGTTTTTGAGAAAGAAAAATAAAATGTTGATAGACATGCTAAAAATCAACGAAAAAGCCAATTATCTCTTACATTTTAATTTTTTTTTAAAAAAAAGTATTCAGTTTACAGCAAAATGGATCCTTAATTTTGTTACATACTTCCTCACAGGGAAAAATTGAAGTGATTGGTAAATGGTTGTGGAAGGAGTAGCATTTTGAATGCACTAATGTTTCGAAAAACACAAACTGAGAACAACCACTTTAAAGTTTATAATTCTGAAAAAAAATTATAATAAGCTTAAATAAACTTAAAATACCACTTTAAGATATTAGTTATATATTTATCTTTAAAATAATTTATCTTTTGTTTTTTAACCCATACATTTTTATAAATCATCAATTTTATGAAGGTATTAATTGGACAAGAAAATTCAAGCAAAATGTTAAAAAAGTCTTTTGTTCTGTCACGACAGAAAGTTTAGTTTTTTTCTTCTCATATATTGAAGTATATACATTTGTATGAAAAACATATCAGGAATAAGAACTCAAACTTTTTTAATATAGAATGCCTTAATTCAAAAATTTTGCATGCATATATTTCACAAAAAAGGAAAACTACATTTTTGTATTTCCTCGGAAATATTCTGCTTCATATATTCCACACTCTTTTTTATAATTATTATTTCTTTTTATGAAATAGATTTTTTTATCATAGCGCTTTTTTTAGCTTTTTTTTCTAAAAAGGGGGCGTGGCCGAATTGCCTAATTTGTTTTCAAGTGAAGTTTTATTCATTTTCTAACTTTC